AAAATTTTGCTTTATTAAATAACGACTTTTGTTAAATTGCACTGTACTTTCTTAGCTACTGACATTTTTGAAGATATAAGCTCATCCCGATGTTACACTTATCAAGAGCTTTCATTTGAGTACCCACATGCATTTTGGTATATTTTTCATATATACATATATATAAAATATATAAATATATGAAAAATTGATGTGGGTACTCAAATGAAAGGTCTTGATGAGTATGATGTCGGAGTGAGCTTATATCTTTAAAAATATCATTAGTTAACAAGATAGCAATGTCAGGTCTTAATTATTGACATTTTTCAAGATATAAGCTCATCCCGATCTTACATTCATCAAGAGCTTTCATTTGAATACCCACATGCATTTTGGTATATTTTTCATATATACATATATATAAAATATATAAATATATGAAAAATTGATGTGGGTACTCAAATGAAAGGTCTTGATGAGTATGATGTCGGAGTGAGCTTATATCTTTAAAAATATCATTAGTTAACAAGATAGCAATGTCAGGTCTTAATTATTGACATTTTTCAAGATATAAGCTCATCCCGATCTTACATTCATCAAGAGCTTTCATTTGAATACCCACATACATTTTTGATATATTTTTCATATATATAATATATATAAATATATAAAATATATAAAAATTGATGTGGGTACTCAAATAAAAGGTCTTGATGAGTGTAACATCGGGATGAGCTTATATTTTTAAAAATATCATTAGTTGACAAGATACAAGATCATTTCTTAATTATGTATTTAACGATAGAACATTTTCGAATGCAGCCTAAATACTTATCATAAATTATTATTATTATTATTATTTTTCTTTTTTAATTATAATGAATAAAAAAATATTTTTCAGATGTAAAAAAGTTTACGATGGTGTCACTCACGCAGGAAAATTATATCCTAATGCATATCTTATTATGATTCTCATCGGTACACTTAAAGGTAATTTTAAAACTTTCCAATAAATAATTAATTTATTAATATACCTATACTAATTAATTTATTAAATTTTTCAGGTAACGGAGCTGGATTTACAAAATTATTCGAACGATTAATTCGCGGTGTTTGGACACCAACTGCTATGGAATTTATGCAACCTAGCTTGTATGTATTTATATTATATCAACACTATTTAATATTTCTTCTTTGTAATTTATTTAATTTATTGATTGTATTATTTTAATTTTAGCCCAACTAAAGCATGCTTGGTAGCATCGATAATATTTGTCTTGGACAAAAAGACTGACTTGATTTCTGCGCCACATGCTCTTGTTTACTTCGGAATTGTTATATTCTTCATTTATTTCAAGGTAATTAGTCAGTCATAAGTTGCAATAATTATAGTATAAGATATTTTAGATTTAAATATCTATTGAATTGTTTTTTTTAAAAAAAAAAAAAAAAAAAACATTAATCTCTATTAATATAATTATCTAAATTTAATTACTTAAAGATAAGATAAGAATTATTCTTTAATGTTTGATTAAATTAGATAATTGAAAATTACTACACATGATAAGAAGATTTAAAATTTTTTTCGCAAAATTTATCAAAGACAAAATTGATAAAAATTTTTGACTAAAAAATATTCAATATTTTTATAAAAAATTAATTATTCTTAAAAAAATTTTTTTATAAAAAATTAATTATTCATAAAAAAATTTTTTATCAAAGAATAATTATTCTTAAAAAAATTTTTTTATAAAAAATTTATTGTTTTTTTTTTTAGCTTTCGTCAATCTTGTTGGGAATTCATGATCCGTTTGTACCCTTCGAAAATCTCATCTGTCAAATATTCTTCGGTGGGCTGATGGACCGTTTTACAAAATTATTTGGACGTGGACAAGTAAAAGATGAAAAAACTGATGCAAAAAAAAATAACTAATTTATTTATTTATTAATAATAATTAATCATAATCTTCGCCTTCCTTTTTTCTAGATCAACGCTCATTAATTCGATAATTTATATCAGAAATTAATAATTTGCATTGAGAAATTTTTTTTTTTTTACCAAAGTTTTCCTCATACTCAAATAAGTCTAGTCATAAATATCTAGTCACTCTGAAAATAATTCTACTTACTTCGACTTGCAATGTTAAAAAGTTGAAATTGCTCATTAAAAAGTAAAGTTACCAAATTTTTTCCAAGGATATTTTTATACCTACAATAAAATCATGGTATATATTGATAGAAAATAAAGTTTGAAAAAGTCTTGATTGTTTTAAAAAAAAAAATAAATTTTGCTAATTATTTTTACAAAATGTAAGAACTAAAAAATTTGATGGTCGTTAATTATTTAAGTGAAAAATTTATTAATATTTATACAATAAAAATTAGAAAATTTATTTATAAAATTAAGATTTATACAATAAAAATTAAATAAACTAGAAAATTGATTTAAGAAATGTTTTACGATCATTTTCCATATTATTTTGCTTCTTATTCTTCTTCTTTTTCTCTACTATCTCCATTTCTGTTTCACGTTGTTTTATTTCAGGCACCACAAAGTTACTAATTTCACCTTTTTGCTCTTTGAGCTTTAATTTCTTGCTGCGATCCAGATTGTATGAGAAGAAAGTGCTTTCACGTTTAGCTTGAGATATTTCAGTACGCAAACGTTGTTTATGAACAGCCTTTTCATACGCTAAACGTTCGCTCAGGTGTATCCATTTAAATCTAAAATTTATAATAATAATTTAATAAATTTACGTGACAATTTTTTTTTTTATTTTTCTTGAAAAATAAGCTAAGCCTAAAAAATTATTCTTAAAAAATTCCATTTATAATTTTTTAGAGCTTTTAAAGATGAAATTTTTTTTATAAATTTTTCTTGCTATAATCTGTAATTTATGCATTAAAAAAATGTAACACAAACATTTCTTACTTCAAAAAAAAAAATCAGAAATAAAATTTTAATTACCTGGGTAAATATTTAATATTCCAAAGAATGTCATAAAATCGCCTACCCTTCCTTGTACCAATCGCCTGTCCATTGAGATTGTTAGCCACAAATTTAGCAGCTCTTTTGCTTTCAAACTCTACCCAGCCTTCGGTGAATATTCGCGGTGCTCTAATATTTTTTTTCTCCTTTGAATCTTTTTTGACAGTCTTAGATTTTGCTTGTTCTGAAAATTATATTTATTAATAAAATAAATATATAAACTATAGTTTAACAATATTTAACGTCTGACAATTAATTAATAAAAAAAATTATTAATACAAATAAAAATTCTAGAAAAATAAATACTTAAATTTTTTTCATACTTTACAAAAGCAAAAAAATTTTAATTTTTAAATTTTGCAGTCACTTGAACATTTTTTAATTTTATTTAACAAATGAATTTGCTCCAAAAAATTATTTAAAAAAAATTGCATTTTTAATTTTTAAAAATTTTTGTATCAATTTTTTTGCCATGATTTATTTATTACAAAATCTACAAAAACTAGCAACCTTGCGGTCACTATGTGACTGCCGTGACTTGTAAACTATATAAAATTAAAATTTTGCTTTGTTAAATAATGACTTTTGTTAAATTGGACTGTACTTTTTTAAATATTGACGATTTTAATGATATAAGCTCATTCCGATGTTACACTTATCAAGAGCTTTCATTTGAGTACCCACATCAATTTTGATATATTTTTCATATATACATATATATAATATATATAAATATATAAAATATATGAAAAATTGATGTGGGTACTCAAATGAAAGATCTTGACGAGTGTAACATCGGGATGAGCTTATATCTTTAAAAATATCATTAGTTGACAAGATACAATGTCATTTCTTAATTATTGAAGTTTTGAAAGATATAAGCTCATCCTGATGTTACACTCATCAAGAGCTTTCATTTGAATACCCACATGCATTTTTGATATATTTTTCATATATACATATATATAATATATGATATATAAAATATATGAAAAA